ACACACACACACACACACACACACACACATATACACAATTTTCATTTATTCAGTTAATCGGGCTTTTAGAAAACAAAAGAATAGCCCTACTCTGATGCCCAAGCGTACCCCCCTCCTACTTCCCCCATCTCCCAACCCCCAAATCATAAATACACTCCCTGGCCTATCACACCCATCACAAGAACAAAAAGAAAACATTGCTTACTAACACTCGAGCCAGAACCAATTACTTATATAATTAAGACAAATTGATACGCAGTTACTGGTAAAGGTGTGATAAAAATCGGTGCAAGGAATCAAACGTTTTTCAGGGGGGTTTTTTAACATGATTTTCTAATTTTATTTATTTATCTTTTTTAATTTTTAATTTTTTATTTTGATTGTTATTTTATTTATGTGTGTATTTTAAATGTTTTAATTTTTTAATATTTTTTTTTGGGGGGGAGGTGGGGTGGGGGCTGGACGAGCTATAACTCTAACTTCAAAGTGACCAAAAGTAGGCCTAAGTTGATTGTGTGCGTGAGATGAGATAAGATAAGATAAGATTAGGTAAGATACATTTATTGTCCAGATCCTGGCACATTGGTTTTGTCCTTCACCCAAGGAGTTCAGAACTTTTACTCTCCTTGCCTTCACCACATACACACATACACACACACGCACACACATACACACCCACATACACACACGCGCGCGCGCGCGCACACACACACACACACACACACACACACACACACACACACACAAACACACGCGCGCGTGCAGTATGCTTGCACTCACAAACAGGCTTACAGTCACATGCATAATAAAAATGAACAGTCACAGTAATAAACAATTATAATATTAAGCCAGATCCATACTCGGAGTGTTCTGATTGTAACTCAGTTGTATTCTGAAGCATGTTCTTATGTCATATGAATACTTAAGATGGTTAAGATGGGAGAAGTTTGATGGATGATGGTAAGAATGAGCTTCTGTAGATCTATCTTTCATTGTTACAGATCAGAAGCCTGGGTCTTTTACTTTTATTTCTGACTGATATAATTTCAATTTGAAGGAACAAAGTATGTTTATTGTCCAAAAAGATGGAATTAAGTTTTCTAGTGCAAAACTATAATGTACAATTATTCATTCTAGTAGGGGAATGTGGATTCTATGTTGAAACTTTGCATGCTTTCCGTATTAATGGATTTAATTTTTCTTCATCTTGTTGTCTTGTGTCCCCGCCCATGTTGTTATGGTCAGAAATTGATCATACTTTCTATGGTTGAATGATAGAATATGGACATCAATGTTTTATCAACTTTAAAATACATGAGCTTCCTTAGAAAAAATAAATAGTCTTTTGTTCACTTTTTTTTCAGGAGAGAAGTGAGGACAAGCCAGTCGAGTTTGTTGTCTATTGTAACACTCTAATATATTGTAGGCCCTACTTATAATCTGACACTTGCTCGACGTTTTCATTTTTAACTTCGGGTGGCTGCAGGGGCAGTTTCTTTTTTCTAAAGTATATATAATTTAAACAGAGTATTAATCAGAATTTTAATAGATTTTCTAAAATTTGTTTTCCTCCTTGTGATATAATACAAGGGCCTATCAAATCTAGCTGCAAACAATCAATAAGCACTTCTCCTCATCCTTCAAAAATGTGGTGCAACTCCACGTAGATTTATCCTCCTTTGTGGATTCTTTGAACTCAGTATCTCCGCCTATTGGAAGCAATTCAAAATCGTCAAAATCTCGCATGCCATGTTCCCAAGTATCCCGACTGCGCTGGGGGCACGTGTGTAAAGTGCGTGGGTGGTTGGCGGGTGCTCTGGTGTGGTTTGCTCCTTCTTTTCTATCAAACTTCTATCG